ACAGACACACATACACAAGCAATGCAACTGTTACACACAATGCATCCCTTACACACACAGAAACACACAATGCATTCATTACACACACTCAATGCACCCCCTACACACATTCAATGCATCCCATACATACACAGAAACACACCTGGCAGCCCTTACACATACAAACACAATTTCACACAATGCATTCCTTACACACATATCAGGACATCCCTTACACACTCCACCCCTGTGAACAAACTCATTGGTGGAACATGAAGGTGCACCCTGGGACCCAGACCTTGAGCTGTGTAAAGGACCCCCCAAAAAATGGAGCTGCTTCCCGTTCTCCCAGAACATTGATTTTTGTGACCACAGTTACAAACCGCCTCCAGAGAACCTGTTCTGCACCAGACCAGTGGAGCCAGACTGCAGCTAGAGCCCATCATCATCCCTCATCTGGTTGTAAGTAGGCAATCTAGTATATTATTCGTGGCACTAAGCTCTAATTTACCTCACATTAAAGAAACACTATAGTCCCCAGAACCACTTCAGCTTAATGTAGTGGTTCTGGTGTCTATAGCCTGTCCTCGCAGGCCTTTTAATGTAAACACGGCGGCACTGCAGCACTGGCGTTAGTTAACATGGCAAATCATATGGGTGGGGCATTGTGATGTCACATGGGGGGGGGGCGGCAAACTTTACTTTTGCCTAGGGCGGCAAAAATCCTTGCACCGGCCCTGGCTGGAGGGGGCTGTGTGAGCTGTGGCCGCACAGTGTCCCATGGTAGTTAGGGTGCCGTGCGGCCAGTACAGCTCACACAAGCAAACAGCTGATAAACTGGCCGCACGGAGGAAATATGTATGTGTGACTGTCTGCCTGTGACTGTGTGTGACTGTCTGCCTGTAACTGAGTGTGTGACTGTCTGTAACTGAGTGTGTGACTGTCTGCCTGTAAATGTGTGTGTGGGGCTGCAGGGATTTTGTAGAAGGGGCGGGGGTTTTGTATTGGGACAGGAGTCTTTATAAGGGGGGATAAGCAGGGGATTTGTGGAAGGGGGTTGCGGGGGTTTTGTAGACGGGCAGTACAGGATTTGTAGAAGGGGCAGGACAGAGGTTTTGTAGGAGGGGCGGGGCAGGACAAGGGTTTTGTAGGAGGGGCTGACAGCGGTTTTGCAAAGTTTACAAATTGTAAAAAAAAAAGAAAGAAAACCTTCAACATTTTTTACAGGTTTTTTTTTGGGGGGGGGGAGGAGGGGTGCCAAGCACAGGATCTGCCCCGGGTGCCAAATTCTCTAGGTACGCCCCTGGGTCAAGGTTGGGCTTCTTTAGAATTGGGGTTACAGTTGCATGTTTGAAGGGCAATGGAAATATGCCAGAGGAGAGAGAGAAATTGAGAATTTTAGTAAAAGGTAGAGAAAGAGAAGAAGACAGAGTACGGATGAGATGCGAGGGAATTGGATCTAGGGAGCAAGTGGTGAGGCGGGAGGACAGGCGCAGAGCAGAAACCTCTTCAGCTGTAGCGGGTGCGAATGAATATAGAACAGCAGAGAGAGTGAGGTTAGGAGAAGTATTGTAAGGGGAAGAAGAATGATGAGAGATCTCTTCCCTGATTGTAGAGCATAGAGCAAACTATTTTGAAGTGTTTAGTTATCAACTAACATCATCAACTGTTATGGTTTGGCTCATGTTAAATCTAAGGGAAATGTTAAAATCCTATATTTTATAATCAATGCATTTCAAAAACTATAATCTGGCATAAGCTTTTCTTAGATTAGTCATAGCTATGACAATCAATTCCAGGATTAATTAGTCTTTGATAAGTCTACCAATGATGAACAGGCATATGATCAATTGTTATCTTTGAAGAACATTTACTTGAGCAAAAGTTATTCCATCAAAACTAACTAAGAGAGGAAATACAATCTAATTCCAACTTGTGAAAATAAATAATAATAAAATAAACAATGTGCATGCATCTACATTCCAATATTAGATACAAATCTAACACTCATAAGTCATAAAATATAATTAAAACATAAATCCTAAAGTCTATTTAGTGATATAATTCAGAGTTATCTTGATGCCATTTATCTCCAGTGCACCATAAAGGAAATTTAAGTATAAATAAATAAATTAGGGACAACAAATCTTACAGGTTTCTTTGAGGACATGAGAGAGCTAAACAAATAGTTTTATCTTTATTTTGTTGTATTTTATCATTTATGAATCTGTTGTTTGTTTTTTACATTGTGGTAATTTACTTTATTCAGGTTTTACAAAGAATCTCTCTATTAAACAGGACACACAAGAATTATAGTTTCTCATTTAATTATATTTTCTTTAATATTTTATCAAAGGCAAACATTCACATATACTCATTCATAAAGGATATT